AGTAGTAGTAGTAGTAGTAGTAGTAGTAGTAGTAGTAGTAGTAGTAGTAGTAGTAGTAGTAGTAGTAGTAGTAGGAGCAGCAGCAGCAGGAGTAGTAGTAGTAGTAGTAGTAGGAGATGTAGTTTTGCTTATACTAGGGCCTTTGTGATCTTATATAATTGAAGTCGTCGTTTTTGGCATGATCATGTCTGTGTATTTATGATGACGTGATGATGATGCCTAAGGTGATGGTCGTCTTCATGATGATGACCATGACTTAAACAAATTACATTATGTCAATGACACGTTAGTCTTAAAGATGTCAGGTCATAAGTTTCCCTTAAAATCTAGGAACCATCAGGAACCAAATCATCAGTGCGAGCGCTTCTTCAAGGAAGCTCCCCTCCGCCCTCAGGTCGGGGGAGCTTCCTTGAAGAAGCGTGAGCTATCCTGCGTCCTACCTAGAAGCTAACTAGTCGCCCTTACTTTATTAAGTAGGCGCCCACTACTTAATTAAGTAAGGAGGCAGGGCCGAGCAGGCCAAAGAAAAAAAGAAACGAGATAAACAGAAAAAACAAACAATTCCTGGAGTGCTGCTGCGGACACCAGTGATCTTTCCGTCCGCACTCCCGCGCGCGGCCGAAGTTGGGCGCTCCGCGCCGCTTTCCTGGATGCACTTTCACTGCGCAAATGGCCACCTCAGGTGGCTCGAGCCACGTTGGGAAGCCACGTGGGAGGCCGAAGTTGAGAGTTGTTCTGCAGCTGTCTGCAGCTGGTTGTGAGCACCTTCTTCATTTAGATGATCGTTTTTCTTGAACTCTGAAAGTGAAGAAGGTGGCGCGGTCTGACCATCAATTTACAGCGGAACTAAAAGTGACACATACAGTCCGAATACAATCCAGTGGAATGATGTGGACTGTGTTTTAGTCTGGAAACCAGTTCAACGCGTGAGGTAATGTAGACTCTTAAATTAATCAACCCCCCATCATGAAGAGGATGTCCAATTCAACTGGGGGGTTTAGTAATCAAAAGTCCACATTATTGAGTTGTTGAAGCAACCTGAGTCTTCGATATCTTTGGGACGTGGCTCCCCTTTTCGTCAAGTGTATCCTCCTAAAGCCCAGAAACACACCACACATCACCACATACACCAGGGTGTCCGCCGCTCCACTGTGACTCACTACCAATGGAAATGGAACAATGTGGAACCTGGACCCTCTAAAGTAGACCGATGTTCCTTTACAAACAGGGTTTTCCACTTCCAGGTGGTGTTCCACTGACCTACTATCTCGGGCCCTCCAACGACCGCTTCCAGGCAGTCCGGACAAAGGCTCCGATGCCCTGGATGGCCTTCAATAAGCGTTGATGTCCGCCAAAGAGCCCTACGGCCTGCCGCGAAGGAGGCGAAGGACCAGTGGAGGCCGGAGGTTGTTCGTGCCTTGGTACCACCTTGGTGATATAGTACATCGAGGGGATGTTTGTGGATGAAGGACATGACATGGTATATCCACCAATTCAATGTCATAAATCTAGGGTTCACGTAACACATGACATAATGATAATCATATGGGTCTATGGCTCATACATGTTCATACATAATGATCATAATTATATCATAATGCTATTCTGGAACTCTTTCCCAGATCGCACGACCTTGTGCTGACAGCTGCACTCCCTCTCAGCAGCTACACGGAAATCATCTTGCCATCACGTGCCTTTGTTTCTTGCAAGGGAGTGTGACATGGAGCTCGCCACTTGGCAGCACGACCCATGTTCTTCTATTTAAGTATATAGGTTTGGAATGGTTCGGATAAGGGCCGCCTAACCATCAATTCTTGTGGGCATATTGACATAACCATAGGGTAGGCATGCTATGGTCTGCTTCCCCTTCTCGTCTGCCTGAGTTGGATAAGTAAATCAAATCGGCATCCGCTCTACTAGAAGAGCTCCTGCAACTGCACCCATCCCTTCCTTGGTGCTTCCACGTTCTTCCCATCTTTTCTCGCAAATGGTCTCCCCACTGAAGCGTCTTCGCTACGCGGGCGAAGTCTCCAACTCATGCGCTACGCGGGCCGCTTCTTCCAGCATCGCTTGGTAGCCTTCCGCTCCCGGACGATCGGACGTTCCAGCAACGGCCCATGCGCCACGCGAACGACCAAGGTCGGTCAACCAAGGTGACCCACAGCCATCAGAACCATGTTCAAAACACCCAGAGCGGATCAGAACTGTCTCTCCATCACAAGAACTTTGAGACCATTCACCAGACTTTATGATTTTTGTTGTTTGGCCCAAACCCGGATATTGGGTGATATTGGTAGAAATCTTGACCAGTATACTGGCGCCCCACCGCACCAGTACACACAAAACAGCTCACAAATAAACTCCAGCACCTTCATAGCTCAGTACAATCCCTCACAAGTCGTGTTTCTCTGGCAGGTCCAATCCAAGTCCCCCTGTCCTCCGTACACCACCCCACACGACGTCTGTTTCTTCCTCCGGCTTGCAGCCCAGGCGGCTGAGCTGACGCCATTTCTCGGAGCGAACGCCCAAGCAGGTTTTGGGTGCGCGGCACTCAAGGAAGATCCTCCGTGCAGATCGCGCTGAAACGCGAGAGTTTACCACGACTACGATTCGCTGGTGGGAATGGCCTGGTGAGGTGCTATCTCATCGAAGATCGGTGAACATCGGTGAACTCTGAAATATGGACGAATGTCTTAGTTTGTGCTCAGGGCTCTTGACCTGTTAAGGCCTGGGACTACTACAACATGGCTCATCGCGAAGCGGCGCGAACAAATAAGAATCCTGAAGCATCCTTGTAACAATCTTGTAACGAACCAAGGCATTCAAGCACTGTGAGCTTCAAGCCCAAGGCTAGCATCATGTCTTGAATATCTTCAATCAGATTTGAGGTCTTCCAGCAAACACCAATAACTATGTGGTTGGAAGCCATCGCTATTAGGTTGGAGGCCACCGCTACTAAGTTGGAGGCCATGGCTATTAGGTTGGAGGTTGGAGGCAATCGCAATTAGGCTGGAGGCCACCGCTACTAGGTTGCAGGGGCCATCGCTACTAGGTTGGAGGCCATCGCTATTAGGTTGGAGGCTATCGCTATTAGGTTGGAGGCCATCGCTATTGAGTTCCTAAAACATCCTAAAACACTAAGAAACAAATCATGTTTTAATTGTCTTTGAACTAAGGTCATGCTTTTCCTCAGCATACCAATTGCTCCTCTAGACTCTAGCCTCTCGCTCATTCCACGCTCCTGGGTTCCTCCGTGCTGTGTCGCCACTTGCCCATGGAGCGCCACACGGTGGAGCTAAGGCTGGCCTGGCGCGGTTGCACGGCAGTTTCACCGTCCTGGCCGCCTCCAGCTCTGCAAATTATCCAATTAACAGTGGTTCCGCTCTTGCAGCATGACGCCAACAGATCAATTGGCAGTCATAGCAGTTGTGAAGCGATGGATTTCCATGCAGAGTGGTCAAGGTGCTCCGCAGGTGTGATCTGTGCAGGTTCAGGTTGCTCCTGAATTGACAGGTATATATAAGAGACATAATATATAATAGTCATACATATATATACATATATATTATATCATATCATATCCATCTTCAATTCAAACTTTCCTGCTCTGGCTGACTATCTACAGGGTCCGAACAAGATCTTGCTCCCGTCTTCTTCTGGCCATGCAAGGAAAAGCTCCGCGGTAGACCCAGAAACATGCTTCATCGCTCCACGGTTGAGAGCACGGGAACAAACCCAGGGACCGGACATGGGGACCGAGCTCTTGGACTCCTTTTTCCTCTTCTCTCCCGCCTACTATATAGTTTCTTGTTACTACTAGTAAGGCCCTTGTTACTAGAAGCGATGCACTTTTTCCTAGTAGCTTTTTCTTAATTCTTCTCTCCCGCCTTGGAGATGGGGGAGTCATGGTCCGACATCAAATCGCGGCCTGGGCAGGTCGCTCGCTCCCCGCTCCCGCTCCCAAGCGACGACTAGTCGATCGCTCTGGCACCTCTTTTGGAACGATCCGACTGCAACTGGTCGACTTCTGGGGGACAATTAATTCTAATGTGTTACTACTAGCGAACCTTGTTACTACTAGTAAGGCACCTGTTACTACTAGCGTGGCACTTGTTATTACTAGAAACATCCACTGGTTGTGGGAGGTTCGGAAGGTTCCATTTTCCCAGCGGCTTCTGCCCTTGGCTCTTTGCTCTTTGCTCTCTCTGGAGCCCCCCCAGTGCGCTGGTCGGTTTTAGGATCCCAGGCTCTTTGCTTGGATGATCTGGTGGTGCCTGCGGACCTGCGGACCCTTTTTGACCTCAGTTCCTTTTGTGCCTGCGGAGCGAAGAGAATCTCCGACTCCTCCAAAAGTCATCCGCCAGCCAGCGGGTCTTAGAGACGCGGGTCTTAGAGTCTTAGAGTCAGTTGTTTGTTGCCAATGGGCTTCAACATGGATTGAAACTATGAAACGCAAAGTCCATGCTTGCCGCTGGGTGAAGCCCGCCCTCAATCTTTGAGACCATTTCCATATGATTTGTAGAACTCTTCATCCCACATCCGGGTCAAATAGCCTAAGTCAAACGCCAATCCGCCCGAGCCGTCCCACGGAACGCCCACCTTCCTGCGCTGCCAACAGCCACTGGCGCCCACTGGGCACTTGCCAGGACCCCCCATAGCCGTTGACCTCGCAGCGTCGGCCTCGCAGCGTCGGTCTCAAAAGAGCGGAGCAAAGCAGGAGATCCTTCAGATCCATGTTGCCATGGGTTATAGTTCTTACTAATTTAGTACTCTCCACCAGCTGGCATGCTAATCTCGGTCCGATGGTCAATTCCATTGATTCGCACATGGAATGGATAAACGAATCACTGGCATGGATATCTTGATAAATCTTGATAGACTACCCTCTTCCAAAGTACTTGGACCTTGCTGGGAGTACTCGCTGGGTCCTTGCAGTCACACTTGTGGGTCAATCCGAAAAGGCTGGGGAACATCAACATGTACACATCCAAGGCACTGTAGATTTTCCAGGTTGAAATCTGCCGTCCTTCAAATGATGGAATCTTTCTAAATCTCTCTTTCTTCAGTTTGTCGTGATGGAAAGGTATGGAAAACATATCTCTTCCCTCAACCAAAATGCAACCCCCCCCAAGAACACAGTCAACCTGGACCTGCCCCCAGAAAGCATCAACAAAAACAGACACCTCTCCCACCCCGTTCAGCTCGAAACAACAAAACACCCGGAAACCCAAGCCAGAAGACCATCAGCCAAAAAAAAGGGTTCAAAACCCACCGACTGGCCAACCAACCCTTGGCCCAGCACACTGCGTGGGACTTCAAAACACTCTCGCGCTCACAACCGGCCTCGCAAGCGCTGATCGACTTCTTCACGTTCTCGAAGCCTCGTCGGATTTTCTCGAGAAAAATGAACCCAAGTAAATGGAAAGGTCGGCCTCCATTCCCCTGGAATGATGGAGAGCATTGGAAGGTTTGGATAAGATTCAAAGTTTTTCACAGGCAAACTCTTTCAACACGATTCTGCGCCAACTATCCAAGGGAACGGTGAGCCATCATGGAAAGGGGATACCATGATTCCTGATAGGGCGTGTCCAGCGGACGGTTCCGTGGACGGGAGGGCGAATCATATAAGAGAAATATATCCCAGACACTCCACGGGACTGCCGTATATGCCGGTCAATGTAGGCATATATGCCAGTCCCATGGAGTGTCTGGGATATAATCAGAAGTTCTTTCTTCTTGAGCGAATGTGAGGCTGGGAAAGAACATGCAAGAAACACGTTACTCAATGATATCTCCGAAACGTAGCCCGGGGAAAGATTAAAACCAATCATCACCCAACATTTACCCATCTCACAACCATGCAGCGTTACACAAGCCTAGCTGAGCTGAGTTAAAACCTCAGTCTTGTCTTCTCTGGGTCCAAAGTACATCAATAACACCAAGCGTGCGGCCAAAACGCCCTGGAGAATGCCCCAGTTGGGGTCGCAATTGCAGCAAGTGCTGAACATCGGATAATTTCTCACAATACCCTGGTACTTACTCTAGGTGTGGGTATTACGTGCTGGTCTTTTTCAAAGAAAAGTGCACCCAACTAACTTGTTCAATGTGTCTTTCAATGTAATGGTGAAGATCTCCCTCACCTTTTTCCTGCGCTTGTCGCTGAAAACCGCGGATGAGCTGCATCCTCGAGGCCAGCTGCAGCAAGCCAGCCTGTCCGGCTGCTTATTGACCACTGCATGTAACAAGGTCAATGCAGGTTTGTACATATATTATATTGAGTCATACATACAAATATTAATAGAGTATATATATATAATACACGAGAAAAAACATATATATATATATTGTATGTTGATGAGTCCCTATTCCTAATGTAAGATATGCCAGCCCTCTGCAGTGTCTGGGAATCATCATGACAGTGAAACACTCGATTCTCTGCCCCGCCATCTCCAAGGGCATCTCCTCCCGTGCCGAGGATGCATCGTCCAAGCGTGTCTTCACCTTGACTGCTGATTCAGTGCTGGATGATCAAATGCATATGATCAAATCATGCAATACCTAGAAGTCCCAAAATACTGTTTAGGGCACCACCTAAATGACTGCTTTTCGTCTGCTTTTCGTCTGCTGAGTAGATATGAATGATGTTGGACTCCCAGAGTCTATGGTTGCAGGGTCCAGTCTTGGGGAAGGTCACCTCGGACTTCCAGTCTTTCGTCCGGGGGAGCCAACACAGAACCCCCAAATAGATAGAAGTTCGATCCCCACGTGGGCCACTGTAGAGGCCACTGTGCCACGGTCATCTACTTGGGGATCACTATATACTTCTACTTTCTGGTAAAAACTCCTGTACTCAGTCTTCGATCTTTCCAACACAAGTGTCACAAGTGCTCGATGTGACCCTGTGTCATATTGCGTCACATAACCTGTGGGAATCACTGAGAAGACATGGCAACTTGATTCCCACACCGTCTTCAGGTCGAAGGTTGTTTCGTCTTCAGGTCGAAGCAACAAATGCATGAGAAAGACGCTACCCTTGCCCAACTCCCTGGCGCAGCCTTAAGTTTTTGCTTGTGCCCAAGTTCCTTCGGTCGGCGGAGCTTGCCAAAGACACAACTTCACAGTGTTCACCCTGCTGCGCTTCGACATCGGAGCTAGAAAGTGGGGGAGACGGCCTTCAGAAATAAACGGTTTGTACATGTCCGATGAGCGAAACAAGGCTCAGTTCTCGGAAAACGTCTCCCACTCTTCATGCAACCTAGTGGCCATTCCACCGATCTCAGCCATCTCAGGAAAGTGCAAATAGTCCATGATGCCCTGCGTGCGTCGAGGGGGCTCTCGCCCAATCCGTGTATTTCCGTCGCGGGTGCGAGAAGTCGAGGCTAAGCATCGTCCTTTTCCAGCGCTCAGATGGTGCGCGGCAGCCCAGTGTCCAAAATGGTTTGCCGGTCCACTGTGCAAGGGACCGGGTGTACTCCGTCAGCAAACAAGATGGGGGGCCATCTAGCCAGGTGAGAAAGGAGAGTGTCCATTACTGAAGGAGGACAAATTCATACAATATATCATACAATGCTTTGCGTTTTTGGGATTCCCTCCTTTTAAACCCTGATGCGTCAGATCTTCCAAAACTGACAATCGCCTGAACACCATCGACCAACCAAACGATCGACAGTGGAAAGTGTGCCCGGAGCGGGCATCTGACCGTTCCAGCTGACTTGGCGACTTGGCTTCCGCACCTTGGGATAAAGGGGTACATCTGGATGACCATTCCAGAGCTGCAGAGCATCATCCACCAGACTTTGCTGTTCCTCGCGAGAAAAGGCCAAAGGATGGAAAAGGCATGACAAGGCCAGAAAAAAATAAGAAACACAACAACAAACAAACCACTCACGTGGCGGAAATGGACACAACATGGACACAACATGGTCACAACATATCCCACTATTATATCCCACTATCAGATCTTCGCACCAAACAGCTCCGCTACAGTCTCTCACCAAACGGTCGCTCGTCCCCGGTCGCTCGCTTGCGCTCAGGGCGGCTCGCCGACCCGTCGAGCGACCGGGGTCGTGGGGTCGATGCTCAAACGGTGCTCGCTGCGCTGCCGGTGATCGAATCCACTTTTTTTTCGGAAAGCTCTCAGACTTTCAGCCGCAAGGCCTTTTTTGGGGACTGATCACTAGGTGGACGGCTGGGATTCTATTGACTGCAGCATGTACAGATCCACTGCTTCCAAGGGGTTATTCTGGGTGGATCTTCAGGTTGATGCACAATCAAGATCAAAGAAAGGTGTGGATGGTGCAGCGCCATCCACATGGCAGCTGCGGTGCATGAATGGTTGGAGAATAGATATGAATAGATGGCATTCACGCGATTCATTACCCCCAAGATCTGCATCTATCCACTGTATTTCTGGCGGATTGAGACAAGGTTCCTCCTCTGGCAATGTCTGCACGAGATCTCCTGGATTCGCTGAGCCCAGGTAATCAATGGTTCATGTGTGTGTTTTTAATGGAAGTGAATCAAAAAGGGTGTTCGAATATGTAAGCATTGCATGGCTTAAACCACCCCACACTGCACACGTGAGGGTAAACATGAACAGTTCAACTCCGAAAAGAACAATAATCACAAGGACTTGGACTTGCCCTTCAATGGCTTGATGTTTTCTTCACCCATCCCTTTTACATCATTTTGTCAGAACTCCACTGAGGACAGCCGGCCATTTTTATGCTCACTTTTGGGTAATGGTCAGAGCAGACCACCCAAGGTTCGATGCCAGTAGTTCTCACAGCAAAGCATCCCAACACCCTGGTAGGGTGGTTCACATCCCGAACTGTTCTGAGTCAGTCAGGTGAACCAGCATGACCAGTCAGTCAGTTCTCCCGTCTCCTACATGTGTCCGCAGGAGCCACGGACTCTGACAGCGCTTGGGAAAACCGCAGGAGGGACATGCAGCTGCTTGCTCCAACACCATCCCAGCCAGCAGCAAGAGCCCTTCCTCGGGAGTTCGGAAACTGCTCCAGCATGGTGCCATGCACAAGATGGTTGAAGTATGGCATCAAGTGACGCTGACAGCCACCAAAACGCCAAAACGCTCGCAGTTACTGAGCGCAACCACATGTTAACACAGTCCTCAGTCCCCACACAAAAAACAAACAAACGGTGTGATACAGCACTTTGGCAGCCAAATCTGTTTCAAGTCGCGCACACAGTGTGGAAACAGGTTCGATGAAAGAATGGTTCGCCTGGCGAGTTGCTCTGGGGATGCTGTCGTTCAATTCCATATAACAACTTGTGTTGATATAAACACCAAAACAATCAACCCTATTACTTGTTGGTGGTGTTGTTTGTATCAACACAATACCATGAACGCTGGAGTTGCCACCCACTAGAATGGCCAGAGCAATTGTTCAATTCATCTTGACATCCTCAATGAAAGTGCCTTTCAAAAGGTCTCGCTGCCACCAACTATGGAAGAACAATCTTAATCCCTCCACGGAGCAGGTAGTGCAAACCAGGGCCAATGCAATACCAAGAAGTTCGCGTACAAAGGCAACACGTAGCAACGAAACGGGAAGAAACATGTATCCAGGGCAACCCAACATCTTCATCAACATGTTTGGTAAGACACATCTAACATCGATTACTTTTTAGAGCGAAGCAGCCGAAACAATTGGACGCATGATATGTTGTCATGACATCTTAATTTATGAATTGGAAGTTGTTTCTATGTTCTTGGGTATTCATGGCACAACATGCCACTTGAATGCCGCTTGAATTAAACCTCCATATACCAGTCGCCATTGTTTTGAACTCACTCCGAGAACAGGCAATAAACACGTCACCCTCAGCATAATAACAAGGCCTGGGCTCTGGTGTGGTGAACGAAGCACCCATTTTTTAGCCCAACTTTGTCGGTCAACTCCTGTGGGTCAGTTCAATCACTTCCGCATGGGATGGATGAGTGCTCTGTCCGCACGGTGGTTGTGGTCTGACCATGAGCGGGTCACAGGTGGAAGAGGATCTACCAAAGCGGCCCTCCCTGCGGCGGAGCTTCGTACTGCTGGCTGCACGGTGGATGGCGAGTCCTGAAATGACACCAAGTCCGGCCCTCAGAATAGCGCAAGGTACCAACCCATGCATGGCTTTTCGAGCCAGGCGAACAAACACCAACACCTGGAGGAAACATGTTTTTCGAGCCATAAGCCCCCCAGGTCCAAAGCTACAATCCGTATCATAATATCCATTTTCTCCATCACTCTGCCCATGTTGCCACTCCACCCCACCCCTGCTGTCCACCGCATTCCACCGCGGTTGGAACCACACCGCATCAACCTCTCCTGCAATACTCGGCCGTTTGCTCCTGGCGCCTCCGCAGTGGCGGCGTCCGCCGCAGCAGCTGCGGTACTTGCGCCGCGGACACGCCCACGGTGAACCTCTACAGCGAAATGGCGCTGATCGGCTGATCGGCGGCGAAAGCCGCAGTATAGGCCCAAATGCGCAAGTTCCAGGCTTCTTGAAAAAGACACAAGACAATTGGAGTGTTTTCTTTTTCTGAGTTTTGGTCACCTGCAGTAAAAATGACGTCGTATGTCCATGACTTTCCAGATTCACAAATAAAGAAAAAGGTGACCAAGTTGTACTGATTGGTAGGTAGCGTCCACTTGGGGATCCCGGACGTGTTTTGTTTGCTTTGCAGATATCTGCGTCCAACCCCATTGGGCTGCGGGGAGATCATCGGACAGTGGTGTCGAGTCGCGAACATGCAGGTCTTGTTGGACGGAATTCATGCTTTTTCTACAGGATCCTGCAATTGATACTTCACACATCACCTTAAACGTCTTGAAGCTAGGTTGGTTTAGTGTGTATATATAACTATTTGTATGATTTTGTATGTATATATATAATATATATATATATCACGTGTAAATATTAAATATATTACAAACCAGTGATATCTTTAATATTTAAATATACTTAATACTAGCAAGGGGATGGAACTCCCTGTAGCTCCTGGCTCCCTGTTGAATGGGGAATATGGTAGAACGCCCGGCTCCGAATCGCTCCCTCCTGAGCAAAAGCTAGAATAGCAATCAAGTACTTGAAATCAAACGCCTTTGCCGGTTGGAATCCACCCTTCCAAGACACTGGAAGGAGCCCTTGTGCTGCTCCCGAGGCACCTGCAATCGTTTTTTGCGGAGCTCGACACTCAGAGCAAAGAGTTGCAGAAGAGAGGGAAAACACCCCAAATTTAGGTCTATCGCTTCTGAGTCTCTATATTTGGTGCGTTCTGGTCTGGTCTTAGAAGCGAGTTTCTTAACAGTATCTTTCTTAATTAATATACAAACCAGTCCTGGTCGATGGGGTGAAATGGGTGAACCCCCCACATTGGTCCCAACCTCTGGTGGTCTCCACTGGTGAGGCACGTTGCTTCAACGGTGCGAACTCGACGTGGTTCCACGCTTGTCGGCTTTCGATGCGCTGAATACGATGGATACGTTCGATCTGATGGGTCAGTCCGCCGTGGCGGGAAAATGACCAGCTAGCTACATCGGCGCAGCTCATTGATATAGAACAACATAATAGATAATAGTTGATATAGAATATGTGAAAATTATTGTGTTTTTGTATATGTGTGGTACCAAATGAAAGCGCTGGCAATTCAGACTCAGCGCCGTGCCACTACCTCCCGGAGACATGCTGCGAGAGTGGGCCCACATGTGGACTACTTGTGGCTTCCAAGACATGGTCAATACTTGGCCGGTTAAGACGATGTCTGACAAAATCCAATTCTGATCAAAGGAAACATATCCAAGACTATCCAAGTATTGGCAGGGCTTTCTGAGCGTGAGGTGGTGCCAAAGAACATCAAAGAACCTATCCATCAAACATCTGACCAACAGTGGTGGATCAAATCAAATGGTCAAAGGGTTTCCATCAAGAACCAATGAAGATGTCCATCGACATACAGTACTATAGACATCTATAGACTATAAGCTCATGCATATGCTTTGCGTGAGGGCGCCTTCAGCTTGTCCAAGTATCCCACCAAGTCATCGGGCAAGCTGCTGTTCAACACCGTCTTCGGCCGCACCACGACCTGGTCGGCCGATCGACCCGTTCCGTCTTCGGTCGAACCACGGAGCCTGACCGTTCGCACCCTCAGTGTGGAAGGCCACAAAAAAGAGACACATGGGCCCGACCCTCCGGTTGGGTGTCGTAGGATTGCTGTGCACCCTGCGGTGTTCGGGTGTTCGGGGGAAGTGTCGAGTTGTGGCATGTTGTGGCCCGCGACTCGGTGGGATTTCCGTGTTCAAAAAGACACACATTTGGTCGCCCAGCGAGTGTCCAACGAGCCCAGCAGGTCTGGAGATCTGAACATGGGCCAATGTGAAAGGGCTCAAGGCTGGTCTCCACTTCCCAATACTGTATAGAAACCCAAGTGGGGTGTATTCCACCTGGTGAATTCTTCCCCAGTCGAAACCCACCCCAACTCCAAACCTCAGAATTCACCGCTCGAACGCTCGAGCTGAGCTCGGTTGAAGCGCGCTCCAGCTGTTTTACCGTGGGCGCGGTTGAACCAAGGCACGCTGTTGGCTTCGGGCAAGCCTTGGAGAACTTGATGATGCTTGCTACCAAGGCCTCAGCAGGCTTCGTGGCTTCTCAAAAGGATTCAAGGTTGCCCACCGACTGGGTAGGAGTATCATCCGTAAACATGCAAGGACAACCACGAAACTCTACCTTGGTAAGACTTTATTGGATTCTCCAAGTGGCACCTTGAACTGATCAGCGATATGCAAATCTGGGACATTTCGACAACTCCCATGTGTGCAACTTTGGCAAACTTGCTAAGAACATCTCATCTAGATGTTGACTGTTCCATGACAAATGACGTTTCTCTTTGATGATGTTTGCTTCTCTTGCAGAAGAAAACGACTGCACAGGGAGTGTCTGGCATGTCTCGCTGGATTTGGGGCTCCCAACCATCGATCTCCACCAGCCACCAGGGCGAGTCGCTTTGGAAGGCCTCGCCGGGAGCCTCGGGGCTTTCGACTTCCCAGTAGCTTTCACCCAGAGCGAGGCTTCCTGAGGGATCGAGGCATAAAGAATTGATGATGATTGTAGAGGATTTTAGCTTATTAGAGGACCCTGTTCTTGCAAATGGTGAGTCTACAACCTGGAAGCGAACCCCAAATGGAGAGTTGAACTGGGCCTCCAGTTCACTCCCGGGCCTCCAGTTCACTCCCGGGATGCGATGTCTGAAGCATTCATGTCGTATGACATGTCGTGCAGCACATCTCACCCAGGCGCCATGTTGGTGCCATGTTGGTACCAACAAATAAAGCAACCAAACTGAACGCTCATGAACGCGCGAGCGCAGCATAGGTATATTAAGATCATACTAGGGATGATGAACAAATGAGTCATTCTATGTCCCTTTTGCTTGGAATTGGCTCTGGCCCACCCATGTTTCACCCGCCCAGGTGAGCATATAATATAAATATATGTAGTCGTTGATGAGACAGCCAGCTTTAAAACTGGCAACAACATCACCGTGGAACATCCAAAGTAGCAGATTAGGTCAGTCAGCTCATATCAGCTCCCGTCAGCTCTGCGTCCAACGCAAACCACGCGGCAAAGGATGGGCTGTTGATGCCCCCACGCATGAGCAGAAGCTCAGGAGTCATATTCATATCTCAGCGGCTCAGGAGGGTGGCTGGCAGATGTGGGTGGCGGGTTGAGGGGCACACGATGGACATCTCTTTTGGTTTTAGCAATGGCTCCATGGCAATGGTTGAACTCGTTGGGTGAAATGAGTTTAGTATCTTCAATTGTGCATTCCCTCATGTTCCCTTGTGGGTTGATTAATATCTTAATATATCTTAATGAGTATTGCCTAGAATATTAGATATACTATATCTTATATAACAATACCTAGAATACTAAGGGGTGGAAGTATAGCTTTCTACTGGAGAGTCAAATGGTTTCATCAAGTCTACAAAAGCGTTAACATATCAAACACACACACATTATGATGATGTCATGACTCTTCTTGGTTGCCGTTCCCAAAAACAAGACCTCGTGGTGCACTGAGCTCGGCACAATAGAGGGGCCTAGGTACCTCGAACTCGAACTGCATTGGGATTTCATGGGGCAGCAGCCTCAGGCGGCATGACGGGTAGCAACTGAAGCAAACTGACTCAGTTTGATTGTCTTCCAACAGAACAATGCATGGGTCAAGCTAAGTAATAATAGTATATAAATGATAATAGTTCCTGCATGCATGCTCCTGCTATTTTGGGGTGAGTGCTGGATTCAGTATTGTTGTGCTTTTGCATCCAAAATACTTGACGTAAAGCAACGGTATCGTAGTTCCTCGTGTTCCAACGTGGATGACTGCCCCCCAAACGTTCAGGATTGGGTGGGAATATTTAGACTTACTTAGACTCCAAACCTTCAGGGACAACAATGCAAGGGTAGTTCAAGCGGAATTCTAGACTCTGGGCCCTTCTTCTGTGCTTCGTCCTCTGACCCTTTCGCAACTCCAACAGACACACAAACAGTGTGTGTGTGTGTGGTGTGTGAGAACCCCAAACAGAACTAAGAACCCCTAGTCGGGTCTCTTCTCTATACCCACGTACTCAGACTCTCGGCTCAGTCTTCCCAGTCGTGATGATTTACGGATCAAGGATTGACAATCCAAACAGTCTTGGGGGCCCTTGAGCCCCCAAGTTCGTGTTGGAGGGTGATCTCTCTTGTTTCTATGCCTCAAAATGAGTCGCAGTTGTGGGATGAGACATGCCACGATTGCCGTGACATGCCACGATCGCAGCACGGTGACGAGACACCGAAATGAGACTCCGAAATGGAGTTGCAACGAGACTTCGAAATGGAGGAACGAGAACACAAATAGGAAACACATGGAAACACAGCTGAGTCTGAATCCTGTAGATTAAGTATGATATCCCACCACCTTCCCATCCTTTCATGTGGTACTCAATTTTGAGTGGGTCCATCAAACAGAGATTCTCTTCTCTGAGAAATCTCAGGTCACCTGCAGTGCTGAAGGACAACATGCAAAGAAAGTACCCATTTCACACGGCCGGCCATGTATCGCAAAGAAAGTACCCAGCGGCCTGGCCACCATCTCCGCCAAAGCGGCGAGTCGTTTCTAGGTCTTCTCCAACAAAATCGCAAAAAGACCAACCGCTCCAAGAATTCGAATCGCCAATGGCCTCTGGATCGTGTCTTTCGGCCGCTCTTGGGGACCCTGCCCCAGCATGGACCGTGCAAGACCCTGGTCATAGTGAGCAAAATAGCGCCTGCATGGGCCACGTGGGCCGCTGATTGGTGGAGGGCGATGGATAGGGTTCAAACATCCAAACATCAGGGCTTCAGCGGGCCTGAATTGGTCGGACGAGTCCATTCATCCCTTTGTAGAACGATTCAGTACTCTCTCTACATACGTGTATTTGTCTATATGGGTTTGTATTTTTTTAATGTTCCCGGGCCGGGATGTTTGACTATGGGGTATGCTTCGGAGGTATGCTTCGGGGGTATGCTTCGGGGTATGCTTCGCGCAGCGTGAAGACTAAAGTAGTAGCATTTCGAGAGGGTATGCTTCAGGGTATGCTTCGGGGGTATGCTTCGGGGTATGCTTCGCCTAAGTCGAACATCCCAGCCCTACATAAACTGGACACCTTAAAAAAAGACAAGCCCATATATATATATAATATGAGCCATACCTCTGGAGAGGTGTTTGTTCATGCAGTTTATCCCATGCACAGGAAGGTGACACACTTGGGTGGCCCCAAGATGTGGAGCTGGTGACCTCCCGTCTCACAGGGAGGTCACCAGCCACTCAACAAGAACAGCTCGAAGCCGAGGGTCTCCTGCTCGAAGGGGCGATTGGTGTTGCTTCCTCCGTCCCTTGGTACTGGGCTAAGCCAAGGCCTGCTTCGCATGGTGTCGTGACCCAGGGATCGAATCGGTCTCCTCTCATGTTCGCACACCTCGCGACCGTAGGTTTTGTCCCTTTTCAAAAAGAGTGCGGACCATCTAGGATCGCCTCCTAGTATTCTCTGGCTAAGTCCTTTCAGTTCAACTTAGCTAAGGGACATAACTGTGGTCCAATGATTCTCAACTCCGGAATGTGGTGCCCTGACAATTCTTGATGGACCTACCTCTGGACTTGATGAGTTCGTCAAGAACTTCAATCAACTTCCAACCTTCAGAACCTTTGAATCGAATCGTCTTCTCCCGGTTTTTGTCGTATCTCTTCACTCCGGCCGACCGCACCTATAGAGCTGCTGAAAGATCTCCTCACGCTCTGACTCCAAATCCTGCATCCGGTCTTATCCGGTCTTAAGCTTTGAGACAGGGTACGTGCAACAAACGACGGGTCGCACAGAGACGCAAACCGTACCATTCTCAGTCGACCTTTTAATCATAATCCATGCTGAGCAAAGTTCAACATCGACCTGACAAACAAGACCCGACAATCTGGACAAGACTCCAGATGAACACTTCGAGCCAATAGACATCATATACTGTAGAGTGTTATACAATTATCCCATATTGTACTATCCAAACAAATACTCAAACCTCCCCAACTCCCCCACCATAGCTGGGCCTTTGGCCGCACCGCCCGCACCGCCACGGCCACGGCCAGCGCCGCGAAGGCCCTGCTGGCCGCGGGGATCGGCATCGGGCTGGCTCTTCCGCCTCGCGCTGCATCGAGGAAGTACTACTTATATCACTATTGACGTGTTTAAACATGCTTCAAAGCACTGAAAAAAGCGATCCCCCCTTGTTTGGTGCTGCGAAGCTTGGAAGTTCGGGGGACTCTGTGGTATCTCGTAGGAGAGACGTGGACGGTCTGAGATCACTGAGACCGCTGAGACTGAGGCGATCCGAGGGAAGGACGATCTTCCTGCACTCTACAGGGTTAAACCGACATGGACCATGGACCATGCATGGACATTACACGAGAGGTTTCTCGAATCTTTTGGTGCGGTATCGGCGGCATATCAATCGGTGGTTGGCGCTTGGTTATTTCTGTTTAGTCATTGTCATAATAGTGAAGCATGATCAATTTTGCTTCTCTCTTTCCCAGTGAGTCTCTCCCATCTTTCTGTCATTCAATGACGCGCCTAGGCCCTGGAGGCGCTTCTGCAGGGCATCAGCAGCCTCAACGACCGGGCGTCAAGAATACTATTACACAAACTTAAACTTTGCTTGTTTGACTATATTTGCTTGTGCGTTGCAATTCTTTGGGTTTTCAGATCAAACAGTGGCAACAATAAACCAGGTTGCAAAGTCTGGCTGCAATCTGTCTAGAATACGAAGCTGAAACTTCTTGGGGACGATGTGATGATTGTCAGACCTCGTGTATGATGATTGTTCATCAGCTGTATCTACTTACTCAAAACAGGGATGCTACGGTTTCACCAGGGTGGCTTTGCCAAAAAGTCATGGTCGATATGTGGTTGACTATGGCTAAAAACCCAAGCTGCTCAGATCAAGCTAATCTAACTTCACCTTCTCAGGATCAAATCCAAGGAACAACCTCTTCGACCATATCCGAATTGGAGATACACTCCCTGAAATAATCATGGATCCAAGTGGAAAGCCACCACCTTCGACCCTGGCGTTTCGAACGAGCGCCTTGGACGCGCGCGCGGCTTCGCGCAGGCATCGTGAACGACTGATCGCAGTCCGGTTGGTTGATCACGAGTTGCGGCGGACGCTCTCAGGTGGTCGGGAGCCATGTAGTTCAAGCAAACCGAATGTGGGACCATGCAGAAACCAACAAAGTCTTTGAGTCTTTGAGCTGGTCCAACTCTTGATGACTTAGTCCAAACAAAACATGTAACTTACTACAGTATAACGATTGAACTCGTCAGCGATGAGTGATGAGACATGAATCACTCCATTAGACATGATTAAACTGTTTGTCGGTACTGTTTGTGAGTGGGCAAATTGATATCATCCATCTACTTCAGGGCGGCCATTCCACCTTCGCTGCCAAGGAGCATGTGTGACTTGGACTTGGCAAAACACACTGGACTTTTGAGTCCAAATGGCTTCGATAAACCGATTGAGCCAAAATGATTGGTCGACTTGGTCTACAAAGACACCCATGCGCAGCACAGATTCCTTGATACCAAGCAACATGCATGAAACAAGGGAGTTGTTTCGACTCAGCTTGGCTCCAACGGTTTATGTGGATGAGCAAAAACGGCTCAAATGACACATGTTTCCGGTTGGAAGATTCGACACATGTCCGACACAAACCCCTAGAGACGTCTATCTCAGAAATACCCGGCTTAACGAATTACAATCTCTTGAACACCCTGAAAGCTGCAAACAAAACCCATGAATTGAGACACTCCCAACCGAAATGGAGATCAGCAGCTGCCAAAGAAAGCCAAAAACCATGTGAAGCATCCGAAAACTCAGCCCCATGCGGCCCATGCGGGTTGCTCGGTCACTGCGAACGCGCGGACGCCGCGGACGCCTCGCTGGGCGCCTTCGCGGCCGAAATGGCCTCCGTTCGGGGGTCTGAAGGTGGGTGGTCTGTCGGGCCTGGATGGGGTGGACTCCACGAATCCACAGGAAGACGTAGAAGTAGGATTCATTTTCCAAGTAGATTCATCGACAAAGATCCAGTTGATCACAAAGGTCGAAAAGGAAGGCGCCCGACCTAAAACTCCTCATACTTGTCCTTTCCTGTGAGCCCCAAGCCAGGTTTGCAGGCAGCCAAGTGCTCCATGTACAAGCTGAAATGACACACTGTATTTGGGCCTGAACAACCACACGAAGAACTCCCGCCAAGCAAATCGCCATCAAACTGGTGTACAATAATCTACAGCCCAGTACTGTGGCTTGACACAGATCATACAGTAAAACTTCTGCTGGACACAAAAAACAGGAACATCACGATTTTCTCCGCCTGCCAGTGCTCTCCAATGTCAGCTGGAGTACAGCCACGGACATCCAGAAACCAGCAAGCCCTCAAGGACCAGGCTGGGGGGCCGCAGGGGACTGGGCAGCAGCCACGCAAATAAACACGAACACTGCGACGAACACTTGAGATTTGGTTCGACCTGGAAGACTCAACAAGAAACAAGGAAAAAACGGTTTGGGACAAGATACTCCTTGGAGACAAGGCGGTTTCACGATCTTTTGCAACATTCCTTTTGAGGCAACGTGGATATCAATGGCTAATTTAAACAGTTTGCATGTGGTCCAAATTTAAGAAAATAAGTCAAAGTTTCCTCGACTCTAACTCACAAAAACCTCAAACAAAACTCACGGATTCCATAGGAGGTTCCACGGTCATTCTAATGCCAGATGTATGGTCCGTTTTATGTGAAGTAGTTTTAAATATATTATATAATTATATAATATAAAGTATGCAACACCTTCAGTGTTTCATAATGTGTATGACTTGGACATATATGAATTTATGTCACACAAACAATGATATACAAAACAATTTGAATTGTGGAGGGTTGGGTGTCCCTGTTCGTGGCAATGTTTCCGACAGAAGGTGCGGCGGCACGGTGTTTCGACAAATTGCGTAATGATCTTGGCCAAACTTTGCCTGAATCGCAACTGTGAGGACGATCATGTGAGATTGGGGGAGGCAGCATGAAAACTGCATGGAAAAGGTGCTCTTTCTGTTTGAGAGTATCACTAGGAAGCATTAATAATACCAACAGGTGTGACAGTCAAGACAGTTGAAGCAAGTATGACCTGACCTCAAAAGAGGCAGTTTGATATATCGAGGGTTACATCCTTGGTCTGCGTAATCAGCACCAAACTTGTTAAAGCAAGTGAAGCTCCAGCTGCAGTTGCATGCTAATTTGTTGTGGCACGAAGGCCTCATGCAAAAAGTGCAGGACGCACATTTCAAAACAACAATCATATACATCAATTACTTTACTTTGGGTGATCCCCACCATGGCATTATATTTTGCCGATATCATGATATCCGACGGCTATCTTGCTTCAACATCACCAAGAATACGTCTATCTTGCAGCTTGCATATATACTGGCATTCTATCTGAGGCATATGTTCAGTGACTCTACCTGGCATTCTATCATATTCTATCTGGCTAATGTTAAGATATGTTAAGGCAGTCCAACTGGCATATATTCTGGCAGCCTATCTGGCATGTATTCTTGCATTCTCTAGTCTCTGGGATAAACTATTTGCATTCTATCTGGCATATTTGCTGACATTCTTTCTGTCTGGTTCAGGTCCGGTGGAGCCCACTGCGATCTAGCGCTCATGGTTGAAGTCTGGTGGTGCCCACTGCGATCTGGTGCTTGTGGAGGAGGAGGCGAGGAGAGGAGGACGAGGAGAGGAGAGGTCAGCTCTGATAAGATTTAACAACCGTCATCTGGCAGGTGGGGAATCAAAGACCGTCACACAAACCGTGTTGTCTTTTGACCTGCGTGTTCTCTGAAAGAGTTTTGGATACACACCCTCCCCCAACGGATGTTCCACAATGAAGCCGGCCCACACAGCTAGAACAATACATAATACAGAATACACGAAACAGTTATCAACTGTTATCACTGTGTTCATGAAACAATCAAGCAACAACAGTTACAGTTACAGTACAAGTTTGCTAGGAACAACCTTGAACAAGAAACAACTACAGTATCAATGCTCACGGACCCCTCAGCCCTCTGTTGGTTTGGTTCTTTCCTGAAGTGCACATGTGCCTTAAATGAACCCCCCTTGAATGATGCCACCTACAAAAGGCATCAAAAGGCTGGGTATATACTATAGGGCCGTGCCGGGCATATATACATATACTAGTCCTCAACTTCATTATGCTGAAAAAATAACGCCGCCTTCCACTGGGCATCCCGGGCACCGCATAGCCCGCGGTGGCCAAGGTCTTCCGGACCTCCGCCAGCACAAAGACCAGGTGTGGCGGCGTCCGCACGGTGATGACCTGAGTCCGGTGGTCTTCAGCAGTGGACTGTGAAGCCTCCAACCTAATAGTGTTCTTTTTCTCCTGAACGAGGAGGTGATAGGAGGCGACCTGTTGGCCCCCAAGTGGCAATGGCTTGGCACCTGTTTTCTTTCATGTTCTCTTTCAGCACTGTTGGCCAGTAGCAAAGCCCCCTTCCATTTCGATCAAACTATTCATCGTATAGCTGACACTGTTGAAAATTCTTCCAGTGCCATGCATTTTTTGGAAGTGCGTGCGACTGTTGCCGTTTTTCCAGGCCAATCCTCTCCATGGAGATTCCATATCAATGTGTCGACATACATCAAAACACACCTGGACCTTCCAAATGAGTGTCCGAGTCCTAGGAGATCCACATATATGTAACATTAGCATTAGTGACTTTCCAGCCAGGTGACCCCGTTTAAAGGTGCTGGTCTCCCATGGGGTTTGTCCCTGGCTTCCAGGCCCTGCCCTTCCGAAGCGCCGGGTTTTTTTCACCGGGCCGTCCACCCGACACTGACACCCGTCTCGGTGGACGGTGAGCCAGAGGCCTAGGCCGTCTTTTTGTCGTCCATCGGTGTGCTACTGAAGGGTCCACCGCACGTGTCACATCTGATCTCAGGGGAGTATAATATTTTGCCTTTTCTGCACCCAGCGACCCAACCAAACTGAACACAGCTGGGCCCTCGAACCATCGCTTCGCGTAAATAGTGCAGGTGCTTCTGCTGCAGGTTGTTCAACACCTCTGCCTGAGTCGCAAGGGCGGATTGCTCGTGCCGTGCATCAGCCCCAACACCGGGCGGGCGCCGTAGTATTGGCAGTCCGTCTGCTGGAAGTCACATCAACGTCACATCAACGAGGGAACGATGTCCTTCTCGGACCCCAGGTAGTCGAGGGTTCATTTTTGCACTTGGTCGACGACCGGCCCACCCCAGGGCCCCCATGAACCTTGGTTTTGGGCAGCAGGGGAGGTCTATGTAACTTCAGGCCCCTCCAGGTACCTACGTAAATCTACGAAGTACTGTACTTATTTATTTTGGGGGGAGGGGGGCTCAATTATGTAACATCAGACTTCGCACGTTGGAAGTTACTGAAACAGAAGAGCGCATCTTCATTTTTTGTTTGGGTGGGGTGTGAATTGCGAAATCCTGATCTTAACTCTGGACACATCTTGACACTATAGAGATGAGTGAGCGATTTGCATTGTCAATAGTTTTTCTGGCTGTGCTTGTGCGTGTGTGTCTATCAAAGTGCGGACATCCAAAGGACCCACACTCAGTTTGAGGAACCAGCCGCTCTCTGCAACGAAACACATGGTTCTCCCGGTTCGCCCGAGCGGCCAATTTCAATGGCAAGATCTTTCGCACAAAGGTGCTGCCATCGGTTGCCTGTCAGGTGTGCGTGTCACATCCCTTGCCGCACTGATCTGGGATGACTCAGAACATGCAGGATGGGATTATGGACCCAACGCATCAAAATAGAAAGGTCTCCTCCTTCCACTTGTATTTCCAGTGAACAGACTTTGGGGTTCCTGAAGTGGCACAGGTGCTGACATGGTCCATAACAGGCTTTAGGTCATCCCAGCGCGAACTTTAAATATCAACACCTGCAGGGTCATCCACTCACTTTTTCCGATTTGGTTGACGCTTTCAGGCTTTTGACTCCCCGAAGGCCGGCAGAACGCTTCCCCGCTTCACGACAAGCAGTCTGGCAACTTCTGCCAAGACACCCGGGTGGTTGGGCCCGACGGCAGGAGGATGTGCACGTGCCGAAGGCCTGACCTGACGGCGTCCGACGCTGTCTCAGGATCGAAGCACAAAAGGCCCGACCTGTGCGGGGCGCTGGTTTTGCTGGTTTTGGGTTCAAACGTGTTCAAACCACGCATGTCTGCTGGTTTCCTTCAAATCTTCTGGACAGAACGAAACAATCAAACACATCTAAACAAAAACACAATTGGATGGGTCTCCCAAATGTCGCCTCAGGGTCTGCCTGCATCCATTGGACCCACGCGCCAAAGTGATTTGTGTGTGTATTAGAATAGGGACCCCTCAAAGACTTTCTAGGAAATCAAACAGCCAAACACAAACCAATACAAAAATATATATATATACATGTATATATATAGACTAATTCATGCATACTAATAAATCAACTGGTTCGGAGCTCGGGGGTCCCCCTATTTAAATGCAAACCTATTTCAATCTCATATATTGGTTTCAGCCAGCGGCCCACCCCTCCCTCTCCACTGGGCCCAGCACTTGAGCGCACCTGCCATGGCCTTGACACGAAGCGAGCGAATCGAGCGTGGGAGCCCAATAATGGGTCCAAAGATCTTAGGATGAGAAGAACACATGATCTTCAATGATCTTCCACATCTCCCAATGATGGCTTAGAACCCCCCCTACATAACCCCACCATGGATTTTATCAATCAACGTGCATCCAACCTGGTTTGACTACCTCAATCCCAAGGGTATCCTTCCATGATGCACACCTTGTGAACATCTTCTCATCCCCCCTCGGCCTGGGTGTTGTTTGCGCCAACTTCCAGCCTGAGCTCACGGCTTTCTAACGGCCGTCCTCGACAGGGTTCTGCCGAATACTATCTGAAAACGTTGTCACTCTGAATAACATTGAATAACTGACAATTTGCAGCCCTTTTTACATGTCCCCTGCGGGTAGCGTTTCATGTCTAGTGCGCTGAACATGTAGAGGTTCCGTGCTGATTCAGTGCATTCGTATGGGGATGCCATAAAGGTGGAATGTGCGCACACGCATGGTGGGTTGACGGGGCAATGTAATGATGCTAGGTGTCTTGTGTTGCCAAGATGTTTTCCTCAATGGCTAGCAACATATCTAGTAACTAGTAAGACTACACAGCAGGGAACTTGGGGGTACGTAGTACGTACCTCACACTTCCATGCAACGAAGAAACACGTCCGTGGTTTGGTACATTAAGGCATGGAAAAACAGTTCAATCTTGTAACTTTTATGCTTGCATGAGACTCAGGCACTTGGGACGCTGTAGCGTTTGTTCATGGCTGTTCGTGGCTATTCATGACACTGTAGCGTTTGTTTAAGGCAGGGAACTGGGGAACTGATGCATTTCTGTGAGCCTCAGGACTTTTGACTCAAAACCCGAAGGCCAGTCTTGGCAAACCTCCATATACTCTAAAAGTCCAAAGACTATATTTTGCCTCAGTGAAGTAAAGGAAAATCCTTTTCGTGCCACCGAAAGACAATTTTTCAGAGAGCGAGCAAATTACGTACATTTTGATTTTTGGTTTTGCAGTCATTTGCAGCCACTTGCAGCCACTTGCTCAGGCAGCCACTTGCAGCCACTTGTCACTCAAGCAAGTAAGTTTCAACACTGTGTACTTTGAGTTCTTTATGTAAAAACTGTAAGATTTCTTCGTCGCTAGCTCTGCAGAATTTTAGAATCTATTCTCGGAAAAGTCTTGGATTATTTCTTCGCAGAACAGCATTGCAGAAATATTGGTTTTCTTCAGAACTGCATGCGGAGAAATCATGATATTCTCCGGACAGACGTAGCAGTCACTTGCAGCCACTTGGCAGCCACTTGCAAGTGGCTGCAAAATGGAAAATCAAAATGCGCACCTCCTGCGAGCTCAATGCAATTTTTTCTATAGTCTTTGACTCCCAGGGTATGTACATATATGAATATATAAACCACCACGTTGCAAGGTTTGCCTTCACAATTTCATCCTGTGGACCTATCTGTCCTGCAGCACAATGTGCCAAGTCCATAGAAAACGCCAACTTGGGCACCTTGTCGTTGCTCATGGATGACACATGTTTGTCGTTACACCAACTCAACCAACCAACCAACCAACCAGCCAGCCAGCCAGCCAACCAACCAACTGGCCATGATGAAGGAAGGACTCTGAAATATCTTATATATTTTTGGATCAAGTGTGGGTTTGGATGCTTGATCCAAACCTGAAGTTTCTGGCCGTAACCACATAGACCCAGCCAACCACTTAGTCGGGTTTCTCTTGGCATCCGCACCCAAAGATCGGGATCTGCCAGCCATAGGGCGTGGGCAACGAGGGCGCCTCAAGGGGCCCCGCTGGGCTCTCCGTGGCGGAGGGCGGGAATCTCTGATGCACACAACTGGACGGCGAGGTCTCTACCTCTAGCTCCCATAAGATGTGAGTACACCTTGATGAATATAATATATATATATATAGTTATTACTGTATAGATATATAATTATACATATGCTAGCCCCCCTGAGATCCACCTTTGATGCTCTTTAAAAGACATGCATGACAAACTCACTGCATACTTCGGGTTAGTATGCAGCGAGTTTGAGTATGCAACTTTTACAGGCAGATTGTGCCAGCATACACAACACAAGTGTAGTACCAAAGGGAAGCAGATTTGCATTGGATGCAAGGAGACGGCACACACTGAAAATGAAGAAACCATGTGTAGACCTGTAGCTGTAGAGGAAAAGTTGTCAGAAGTCATTGGAATCCAACAGAGGAAGCAAACAATGAGACGACAGTCCAACGGCAGGTCCACAGGTCTGCAGGTTGGTGTATGATCACCGACAAAGAAGCACTCGTCTGAGCGGAGCGGCATGGCTGTCAGGTCTGCCGGTCTGGGGTCTGACCGACTGGCTGGCCGGCATCGACAAGAGTCTAGTAACAAGGTAACAAGTGCATTACTACTTGTAACAAGAAGCTACTAGTATCAAGGTGCATCGCTACTAGTAGCAAGGACATTACTAGTAACATCGCAGGACCTTTGAGGTGTTCTCGCAGGACCGATACCTCTATCCAGCAAGCAAGTTCGCCATTTGAGGGCTTCAAAATAAATCCGGCCAGTGAGGCTTCTGATGTTGTTTTCTGAGCAAAGTACCCACCGTGGAGAAAACGGATGCTTTATAAACACCCAGGAAAGCCGGGGCTTGCAAATGACTGCAGTGCTTGCCACTTCATGTGACTCATGTGGGTGTTCAAGTCAAGGAAAACTGAGGGTCCAATGAGAAATAGACACACTTGAGAAACCGAGAAACCCATGATGCGTCTACCCCACTTTCGATTTCATATTCTACACTCCCTCCGCTTAAGACCAAACCGGCACAGAAAGAAAGGCAAGAAACACCCTGCAACTGTGCGCGCTAAACGCGCGGGCACGGGCATGGCGGGGGGGGCACCTGCAAAAGCACTGGGAAGTCTTTGAAAAAGATGGTAAAGAGCTGGCGAACGACCGCCTGAGCTGAGAACCCCGACATGGTGGAGGTCGGGGGTTCGTCTGAGGCTTTTTTTGGAAAAGACTCCTAAATCAAATTGTGAAAAGCCCGGCTTCACACAGGTCTTTTGCAGTTTTACATAGTGATATGGGAGTCGAGTCCCCCATCCCAGATTTGGTTAAGGGGTCTATTTTCCGACCGGCTCATCTGTGTCCAACATAGTTCTAGGCACCCTTGTCATCCGCCCAGCCATTTGAGACTAAACATACTCAAGGACTCAAGGCTCTAATTTTCAAACAAAAAAAGAAGAACAAAAACACTGCTCCTCATCTAGACTCCTATCCACGGATCCACTTGGCCAGTTGTAAATTCTTGGAGCATCCACGGTCCTCGCCGCGGTCCAAGCGATCGCTTGAAAGCCGCCTCGAGGTTGGTGAACTTGGCGCCGCCCTCGTGCCGCGCGAGTAGCGCCTTGAGGCGCTTCTGCTGCTGAAGCGCCTCCAGTTCAAGTCGGTGCCTAAAACGAGGGTGGCTACAAGGGATGTAATGCTAAGAATACAGTATCTAAAAATCATCTACCGTAAAAAACATCCGCCAGAACTGAATGGGTTTCTTGCTCAATGTTTTTTGTCTCTATAGTTTGCGATATGAAGGATGCAAGCAAGAATTTCAAGCTTCACGGCATGTTATATAACTTGCTCTGTCATTTTCAAGGACTGCCTAGTGCACAATCTGAACTTTTCTGCCTCCGGATCAATGCTGAGCAGCTCCGCCAAACGAACGCGTTCCTGGCAGGCAGAACACCAAACAGAAACAAACACAAATCAATATATCCGATCACTATGCCGACATGTATTGATAGACACAGTCTTTTGCATATCACACTTTTTGGACAACCTTTGCCTCTACCTACCAGTAGTTGATGGTCGCTATGCACCTGTGCCAAAAAAAAACAACAGGGGCCACCGGGGTACCAGGGTGCTGCATCTAGCCTATCTGATTCATCACTTTGATGCAAGGACAAACGCGAGTACAAACCTTTTGGTATTTGGGTGCATATTAAAATAGGGAGACCTCCCAGGCAACGACTCCCAGTTCGGAAGAAAAAAATAGACCACCACTACCAGTCTACCCAGCCAGGGCCAGTGGGTCTCCCTATTCAAATACACTCTCACCGACGGCGATCGCCATGGCCACAGCCGCACCCAGTTCGACATGGAAAACATGGAAGAACGCAAGCAACAGTTGCCATCGGAGAAGCAACCAGTTCATAAAGGATCATCCTGAAGCTGCGCCACTTTTACTTTGTACATAATTTTTCAAAACAGGGGAGGACTCTAAGCCCAAAACCACCAAGGTAGTGAAAACCTTGGGAGGGTGAAAGGTTCTTTTGTTGATGAGAATGAGTCATAGAAACATATAGAAACCATCGTTAGTCCAAACTCTAAACGCCATCACTTAGAAACTCCCAGTAACCTGCCGCTACTATGTTTTACTGGCAATCCCACCCGGTTTTCGGTGGTGGTGGATATGATGTGCGTTCGATGCGTCCATGCGAGTCACTTCACAACGTCCAACCCAGTGGATCCAATCAGTTACCACTATAAGATACTATAAGGATATTGAGTACCGTAGGCCAGTGGGTTCCCAAGAGTTAAGACCGAACGAAACCGTACGACCGGTTCACGAAGCCGCTGGTTCCAGCTGCTAGCTGCTAACTGGGATCCACTAACCACTGCACTTCTATACTCCGGAAAAAAATAAATAAACAAGCAAACACCAGAAAGAACGAGGAAGGATGCTTCGTTTCTGCGGATCCCTCAACGAAGCAAACACGTGAGGCCACAGACGGGAAGAATCAAGGATTCCGGCCGACGGCGAAGTGGAAGGTCTCACAAACGTCTGCGCACAGTGCTCGAAGGTCCGCAACAACAAACATAACATGAACAATATATATCAAAAAAACAACAACATAATATATATATATATCAGAGGGGCTTGCAAAAATGACTCCCACTTTTTTTTGACTCTCAGTTTCTTGTTTCTGACGCTATTGATACTCAAGAAGAGGGGGAGGAAGAAGATGAAGATGTTCTCAGGAAGAAGAAGAAGATGCTCTCAAATTTATTCATTTAAGATGCTAAAGCTGAGGGGGAGGAAGAAGAAGAATAAAGTGATGATGATGATGATGATGATGATGATGATGAACACAAGTCCAACCCAACCCCCAACCTCCAACCCATCACCCAACCCACAACCCAAAGCTTCACGCCAGCTGGTGGAGAGGCAAGTCCTGGCAATCACAGCGTTCAGTGATGAAACGTGTTATCACTAAAAGGGATCCGCTCCGCACAGCTCATTTTCACCCTCACATCGACATGTCATCGCTTTCCGCAGTCACATCGGCGAGACAAATCAGGTTGAAGCCGCACTGATTGAATCTGATCTCTTCGTTGGGACCTCGAATCTCGAATGTGGCAAAGAAAACATGTGACAAAAACATGTAACAAAAACAACTGTTGGACAAGGGGCCCAAATGAAAGAGCGGTCCTTCCACCCATGGTGCAATGTGATACATCTTTCCGCCGATTGGGGCCGTGGTATGGTATCCCACATCCTGACCAGGAGCATATGTGCAGGTTGCAGTCACGATGAGAGCCACTACCTTCCCTGCCTTGATATCCATCTTGTTGAGAGTCTGAACAGCTTCCATCGCATTGCTTGATTTGCTCAGCATAGATTCACACTGGTTGTACAAGAACTCTTGGGTCTTCTCCCAAACATACCTCGAGTCAAAAACCGGACCCTTGACACAACGGAGACATGAACGACAAAGGAATGCTGTCAAGTAACTTCAGTGTCACAGAGTGCCTGATGTTCTCCAAAGTCACACGGCTATCAAAATCATCACTCCTTGGTGTCAGACTCATTCACTTGACGCACTTAAGAAATCCGACGGCCGAGTGACCCCGGCTCTTCCTGCGTCAAATGGTCTCTCCTGGATAAAGTGATCACGAAGCGCTGCAACCTGAAGAAGTACACGGAAACACTGAAAACCAAAACCAAATTCATTCAACACGACAATCATTACAGAATCTTGCAGTTGACACCTGGGCACTGCTCCATCTTGGCCAGGCATGACATGTCATCCAGCTGTCTCACCAGCAACTCAAGCATGAAGGTTTCAGCATCGTCAAGGTCAGACATGGCTCTCTAACAAGACCTGTCAGAACCTGCTCGACAAGGGTCTGCGGAGTGAGGGCAAAGATATGGCACATCAAACTCAAATCGCAGTATTTGACTTTGAACATGAAATGCTCCTTTGACATGACCGTTGAGGACCTTTGACCTGTGACTTTGAACAGCTCCTTTGACACGACCTTTGACCTCTGACTATTTGAATCTGAATCTGAATGCTGAAAAAATGAGTGTTCTTGAGGAAAAATGCTGAATCTGAATCTGAGATCGCCAACTTTTCCAACCCCAACCTCAAGATCCCAAAGGCATCATCAAGCGATGCGTTCTGTACAAATTTCCTCGCTTGGTGGATGACAGATTCAGCCCCGTGATGTCGATGCGATGCACATCCATCACATGATCAAACACTGAGAACGGGATGAGGAGGCTGACCGCATCTCCCTCCTCATCCTGCTCGGGATCAAAGTCCCAAGCCAGCACCTTTGATGCCGGTTGGAGCACCGAAGGCAACGTCAATGTCTCGTTGAGTGAGACATCGTCTGCAGGGATCCAGGCGCCGAAAATGTCCAGGACCTTCTTTTTGCGCCCGGCTCGCATGTTCATCTCTGGTGAACGTGTTGGATGGTACCACGCAAACCTTGGTTTGTGGCTGTCAATCAAACTGCTCCACCTGAAAACTTGAATTGCCAAACCGTTCAATGCCTCCAAAGAACAATCCCTGCTCTTCGCCATCGTAATTTACCAACTCCATCAAAACTCCGAGAACGATGGGCAGCGTTTGATCTTTGCCAGCCACAACACAGAAGTCGCCAGGGCCAATGAAAGCCTTCCTGGCAGGTGCTCGCGACTCGTCCAAGCCTGTCATGGTGACAAGAGAATCCTGAGGCAAGTGGCCGATGTCAGCCCCCATCGAAATTGAGTAGTAGATGTCATTTGGGATTTCCAGGGGGTCTGGCTCTCTGGCGACAAGCTGGCACGGGCCCAAATGAGCACTTCTCAAATCCGAAATCATAGTCTCCTCAGTGCATATGAATGAACCCACCCAACCAAAGATCTAACATGTCGCAATAATAATTTATCATCAAGCTTCCAGAGATGGGCCAGCATCTGGTCCATCCAAATAAGCCCGCAATTCACGAAGTTGCTCCCTTGCGACTTGGCCCGATGCTGCCAATGAGGCTTCCTTAGGCCAAGATCAGACAAAAAACTATAGAAATCACGAATCATAGCTACAAATGCCCAAGCTTCCAACTTGTCTAAGAAGTTCAAGTGCTTCGCCTTTGATTGCTCATCAAACTCATGCTTCACCAAAGGCGGTTTTGCCGTGGCAAACACGGCAACGCGGTCATACTCAACCAGCAAACGTGGTGTTGACCATGACTCATCTGACACGTATTGCCTCCACTTGACCCAAATCCCCATATTGTCCACATAGAGCCGGAGGGAGTGGACATTTCGATATCGGTGAAGCTCGATGCCATACAAGGTGCGAAGGTGAGTGAAGTCGTAGCTTGAACCGTGGTGGCTCCAGTTCATGGCAAATGCCTTCAATGACTGGGAAGAGATAGTGGCCATTTCGTCCATTGTGAAATACGTTCGCCCCCTCAACGATGTAATCAATCTGGAAAAGAACCGGTCCAGCGATCCGTGAGTGTGTCCCACCAGCGGGTATTGAAATTCCACAGCCTTCAACTCAGTGCCATTGTGAAGGGTTGCCAGCAGCCAAATGGCCCAGCATACGCATGTACTGTTCTTGGTCTCTTTCGGGGTGTTGTCGGCCCCCACATACAAGCACTGTGGGAGCCGGCCCTCTTTCATAGCGGTACGATGGAGTTGCCTCGTGAGCATTGTTGCCTGAGAGTTGGCTCCATGGGAGGCGTTCTCCAAGGTGGTGGTCAGGCAGAACTCATCCTCACCTCAGGCACTCTGCGGAGCTTGCGTGAAACAAAAGCTGCAGAAAACTGATTTTGCACGTGTATCCAAGATGCGCTTTGGGCCAGCGTAATGCACACCCACAACGCCAACAACAAAGCGCTCCCCCAGCTTGAACAACTGTGTGGCAAGCCTTGGTGGTGTTCAAGACGCTTTCTGAACAGCAGGAAAAATGACACAGTAGCAAATATTGAAATCAGTAACATATCATGAACGCATGGGAGGATGGTCTTGTTCTGGTCACACTTGTCAATTGACAAGTACCTGACAGCAAGGGTCAGATGGTCAGTGGCAATGTCGCGCATCAAAATCATTCACTGCTGACATTCACACGCCCTCAAACAGAGGTCACCAATCTTCTCCAGTTCGCCGGCACATCTCTTGACACCTTGCAATTGCCAGCCGCTGCGCTGCCTGGAAGGTGTAGTGTCTTCCTGGAACCAATCACGAATACCTATGCAATTCAAGTCAGTCAGTCACAGTCAGGCAGTGAATCACAGTCCTAATCGCTTCTTCACAGCGGTGAGAATCTGGAGTTCACTTCTCGGGGTCTTGTCCAACATGTTCTTCAGAAAGGTGCAGGCCGAGCAAGCGGTGAACATGGACTCCTTTGTTCAGCACAAATGAGAAGTCACATGGCTTATGCCTTCCGACAATCAACTTTACGGCTTCAATCGAGAATCTGATTTGGCAATGCGAACCCAAGGCAGCTCGTTGGTCCAAGCTTTGCGAAAGGTCGATAAATCCGCAGGCTTTCCATCCAAATGCCCCAAATTTTGCTCACTCCTAGGTGTGACATGGTGTGACAATTTGTATGAACATGTCACGCATCACCCTTTGGTTTCACATACTTGGATTTGCTACTGACGTTTTTTCTCAATATAGCCTAAGGTTCCTCTCAAAGTCATACTGCGAATGGTAGAAAAACTTCCTGCCCGCTGGAAGATAGATCTGGAGGCTCATCGGTGAACGCTCCCCGTGCGTTTCAGCATATGTTTCGATCCACTGTCTGCTGTCCAGGTAGCGGTGGGCCTTTGCTTGATTGCGGATTGCCGTCCAGGCAAGGGCGTCACTACGCCAAATGCTCACCACTCCTTTCTCGATCTTGTTACGAATGTTCTGCAAGGTTCCACTGGATATCC